AAAATATATATAACAAAAAGAGAAGATATTAAAAGAAAAAAAAATAAAAGAACAGGAAAATATAAAAAAAAAAAAAAAAAAAAAGAAAGGCCCAAGAGCTGACAAAAAAAGAGTGCTATCTCTATTAAGAAGTAGCTAAATCAAAATTTAATATTTTAATTTAAAAACAATTAGAACACTGACATTTATTATATAATATTTTAGGGTAAAAGATTAAGTGCATACTATATTGGGGTGGCGTACTGACTAATTAATCAAAACTATGTTAGATATGTTGATCGTTTTACTATAATTAAATTTTATATCAGTAAAATTAAAATAATCAAATGAATTATCATTTTATATAATTTAAATATAAGGAAAAATGCAAATTCTAAATGATCCACCTGAATATTGCACTTATTTTTCTAATTTCTTTTGATTGAAAAATCTTTGCAAAGACTATTACAACAAAGTTATGCTTGATTTTTTGCATAAAGTTCATGTTAATTCTAACTTACAAGTATCAAAGATAGAATTTTCTAATAAATTTGATATATTTTATTAGTTGAACACTTAAAAGCTATATATTAAAAAAAAAAATTTCAAGCGTAGTTTTATTCTTCTACACTTTAAAAACAACTCATGAAAATTTCTAGGTAATACAATGTTTGGTTAATTAGTTATATAATTTTGAAATAGATTAATTTTAATAGATATTTATATACTGTAATAAATTGATTAGTTGATTCATATTGTATAACATGAAAATCTGTAATATAGTAAATTATATAGTTAGCTAACATAGTTTTGATTAATTAGTTAGTACACCACCCCAATACTATATCAATATCTTATATTATACAAAAAAATTAGTATAATTAGATTCTTTTTAAATTGGCTAATCATATTGAATCTTATGTAAGAGGAGGGGTGAGCTTTTATAGTAAATGAATATTATGTAATAAATATCAACACCATTATATATTAATAAAATATATAATTAATTTTAATTCTATTTAATTTTTTAGCAAAATTGATTAAGTTTTTTATTTTTTTATTTTTAATATAATTTTTATATATAAAAAATCTTCAATTGTTTTAAAGCCAAATTTTAAAAATTAATTTTTTAAAAACTATCTAATTAAAATTAATTTAATTTTTTTTTTTTTTTACAAATAGATTATAGCTATAATAAAAATATATATAATTTTTTAAAACTATTGGTTTAATAATGATTGAAATAATTACTTTACAACTAAACTTTTGATTCAACTTACATAAACATTTAAAAAAAGTTTTTTATAACCAATTCTTTAAGAATCTCAGAATTCTGTAAGGGAAGTGTCATTTATCATCTGATTTTTTGTAAATAGTAAAATCACCCCCTCCCTCAAATGATTACGATTGCATATAAACATATATACTTGTGATCTATTAGCATGATATTTTGGCACCCACCCCCTGTTAAAAAAATTAGATGATAAATAACACTTCCCTAATTGGATTTTAATATTTTGAGTTTGTTAGGATCATCTCATTAAGCCAGTCATTTTTGGTAGTAAAATCATCCAAAACAGACTAGTGAAACAAAAGTTAATCGATATTATAAAATTGGCCACAATATTCCACATACCCAATTTTTTGTTTTTTTTTTATTAAGGTAATTATGTCTTTTGATTTAGCATATATAATTAAATAATTTTATTATTATTTAATTCATCTTAATACGACAAATCTAATAATATAAAATTATTTAATTCTAATTACTTATATAGAAAATAATTATAGAGGTTGACTATATCTAGAGCTTCGAACCTATTCTTTAGAGGCTATTCAGATTAAATTCGGATTCTCTTTAATATATTCAGATAATAATTCCGATTTACTTGTGTAATCATAAACCCGCAAAAGTTTGGATAAATTTTTATGAGAACATGCCCTTAATTTGATATGTACAGTATTATGGACTTCAGAGATGCAAATAGGCACATTAGCTCTATTTGATTACAGCTGTTTTCATAAATTCTGGAATACTTTAAATTTAGTTGGCATCATTAACTTATTGATTTCAACTAAATAACTTATTGATTCAGTCATTGGGAGCTTTTCAATGGACCCAGAATTTATAAAAATAGCTATAATCAGCTTTTATTATAATATACAAGCTGGTCATGTTGTTGCACCTCTATTCTGATCTATTCTCTAAAAATTAATGAATATGGATAATTCGTGTTATTGGATCAGTCGGAAATTGAAGACTAATAGTATCTCTTAAATGTTGAAAAGAAAGTAAAATTTTATTTCTATTGTCAGATAAACAAAATAATATTTAAGTAATAAAGTATTTAGAAAGAAAGTATCAATTGCAAAAAAAAAAAAGAAAGAAAAAATATAAAATATCAAATGATACGTAATCTCTTATCATTATTATGAAATAATATGTCACCTGATTAATTTCTGTATTTCTGTATCGGGAGTAGAATGTTCAGGATTATGCGCTGGTATTATGTGTGCGGCAAATTGTGGTTTATTTATTTGACCAATAAAATTTTGTATAACACGATCTGTTAGAAATATTTGAATTATATAGTATTGTAAATTCTCGAAATAATGAACACCATCCCAAAAATAGCATAGATAAGTCCCGAAATAATGCGTACATAATATAACTTAACGAAAAATTTATAATACATTAAACCAGGTTTTAAAATTGACACTTTTAACTCGAGATACCGATTATTTTGATAATTTATGGTATTTGTTATTATTTACTTCAATCGTATATAAATTTATCGACAGAAAGTACAGTAAAATCGATCTTACGCATCTCAAATTTGTTTTTAAATCTACATCAATTCAAAATATTAAAAAATATATTTTTGATAATAATTGAAAATTTTAGTACGTACAGTACGTACATATAATATTTATATAATACGCGACATTATTTTTATTAAGTATTTTAAATTATTGATTGCGATTGGTGATAAATCTGGGAGGCAAAAAAAAACAAATTATTACAACTATAGATGTAAACATTTAGAAGATAAAGGTAGTTACCTCTTCACGTCATCTTCACGGCATATCTGATATGAGATTTGGGTAGTGACGTTCATACGTCACTGCTATACATTATTAATGCCTGCAGCCTTAATTACAACTATATATAGTTTTTTTTAATTTTTTGTTATACATTAGTTTTTAGTAATAATTTTTAATAATGATATTTTTTATTTTTATATTAACGCTAACCATATATCTATTATATATTTAAAAGTAGTTGGTACGTACGGCATATGATTAAAATTAATTAGCTCGGTGATATCTGATATGCGGCATTTTCATCCATATATGTTAATAGCATATATTAATGCGCAGTAATTATTTTTGTGAACAGTTACGTATAACGAACTCCGATGTATTCATTTTGAAAAAAGAGAAACTATACGTATATAAAATATATTTATATTTATTTAATCTTTTGTATTGTATATATAAATTTCAATAATTTAATAGGTGGGTTTTTTTCGATGACGATAATACTGTAAATGCAATTGAAAATATAAATCTTAGAATCATGATTTGGATTGAAAACAATCGGATTAAAGAAGAGAAATCTTAGAATCATGATTTAAATGTAAAGCAATCGGAATTAAAGAAGAGAAAAATTATCTTTTATTAGTCAGGGTTGATTTCTATGCTGCTAGTTAAAATTTTGTTACTAAAAATAACCAGAATTTGGAAAAACACAAAATATTAATATTCTCAAAACGACCAATTAAGATTGTTGCAACAGAAAGTCAAAGGAGAACGTTTTAGAAATATTATATATATATAGTTAATGAATGTTTTAGATAAATAATAAAGTTATAAATATTTAAATTTAAATTTAATATTCGTACATAAATTTATAAATTCATAATCTAGTATACATATATTCATGCCAAGAAAGATGATCGAAAATCGGCAAGGAATAAAAAGGCAGGGTATAATACAGTAGGATAGGCAGTTTTTCTTAAATCATCGAAATAATGATAATAGAGAAATGTTTTTTTTTATATATATTATTCATATGAAAAGAAATGCAAAATTATATTGGTCATGAATAATTAAATATGCTTCTTTGCGCATAAAAAGATTTCGATTTAATTTCTTTTTTTATGCGTTATAAAATGTGGCGCATTAAGGCCAAATAAAAAATTATGCATTTAATATATGAATCAAATCTGGTTGATTGGTTGATAAGTTTTTTTTTTCATTGTCAGCCTGTGGATAGCGGGAATAGCTAAGCATAGTAGTTGTATTACGTTATACAAGTCCCTGATATTAAATTTAGAAATCCCCGTGCAAGACGTGCAGCCTTTTTTTTTATTTTATTTTATCTAATTATCTAATAATTATGTTTATATATCGTACTGTACTTGGACATAATGGAAATCAGATTCCTTTTTTTTGAAAGGTCACGACCATCTGTTCTTTTCTAGTTCGATATACACACAATATATAACAGTATCTGTTCTTTTCTAGTTCGATATACACACAATATATAACAGTATGGTATGAGTTTTAATTACAACACAAAAAAAGGCGATTATAATAATAAAGTTAAAAAATTTATGACCAATTATCACCTATCACTTTTATTTTGAAGTAATACATTATTTTTCAATTAAGTGTGACTATACGTACTGTACGTACTGTATGTACTAATGAACAGAACCGTTAATGCACAGCCAGGCGTAGGAAAAAAAGAAAGTATAAATATCATACATCCTTTGGTACATCCCTACGTATCAGTTTTTTTTTTTTGTTTTGTAAGCAAAAAAAAACTATATACATACATATAAAAATAAATAAGAATAATAAAATATATAAAAATATAAAAAACTTGCTATTTTTTACGTATATCTTCTAAAAAAAAAAAAAAGAAAAAAAAAAAATTCAAATAAAAATAATAATAACGAATCTCAATTTAAGTCCAAAGAAGACTCAAATTAACCTTCGACATTTTTTTTGACATGATTTTATCAAACATAAATTCTCAAGCTAAAGTTTCGAGAGGAACTACTATTACGCAAAAAAAACATATGGACGAATCACATATTACTTCGTAAGTATATAAAAATAACGATATCATTTTTTATTATATGTGTTTATTAAATTTAAAATTTACTAAAAAAAAACTATTATTTACGTATGTAGAGGATACGTCAAAGACGAAACCAGAGAAAATTCACGAACACAAACCAACAACAAATTAACAAATAACGAAATTACACCAATGATTAGACACAAACGGAAAAATAGTCGCCTATTAAATAATAGTCGAACAGAAGAAGAAGAAGAAGGACTCGGGGCACCTATCAATATTTATCGAGAACACAGAGGTCATCTAGAGCAAGATAAAAAAGCTCGTACAGAATTAGATATTCAAATACTTAAAGATGATCTTTATGATCCAGTATTGGAAATTCCACATCATGCAAATAAAAAACACAACTCATCAAGAAATACATCCATCGGAAATTTGATTTCCTTCTTACCATCAAAATTTTTTGGAGGTTATAGTGGAATTATCACAGAAAGTGGACGAACTGATGTATGGTGTTATTATCCCAATGACATGTTTACATCAGGAGTAACGATAGACGGGGTTAAAGGTGTATGTTGTTCGTAAATAGATTTTACTTTTTCTTAATCTCTAGAATTCGTTAACGAAAAAAAAAGAAAGTTAATGATAAACTTGATGATGAACTTGAATATAATAATAGTAATAATAATAATAATAATAGTCATTAAAAGTAACTGTATAATAGCAATAATTACAAACATAACGACGATAAATGATGTATTCATTAGATATTTCTGATGATTATAGAAATATCTATAGAAAATTTTAACTACTTTCAACTAATAATATGTATATATTTAGGTTTCATTATAGGTGTTATTTTGGGAAACTTTTTCTCACTAGATAACGATAACAATGGACATCTTTACTATTACAGTATTATTGTTATTATTATTTCACTTTCTTTTTTTATACGTAAAAATTGTTAATCTTTGTCATTAAAAAATTTTTTGTAAATATTTTAAAAAAGAGATTACGTACTTACGTTAAAAGGAATAAGTTTTTAATAAAGTTATGGTATATGATTTTTTTTTAACAAGTGATATAATTTTATAACCTTCGTAAATTGTTAATGATCATTTATAATGGCAACGATGAACTACTTTTATGATAAATCATATTAAGCACATGTAAACTTTATTTAGAAGCTAAACTTAAAATGATATTTTCTAGGATTTTAAAAATAACATACGTTGAATATCTAGAATTATGAACATCTGGGATTATGAAAAAGAAGAGATCGCTCGCGTAATTTATTTAACCAAGATATATAAAAATCATGAAAAATTTAGATTTGGAAGAGTTGTCAGCGATCAATCAGTCAGATCTAATGTCTCAAAAAACCATGACCAAATTATCCATACTCAAAAAAGTTTAGTTAAAAAAGACTTTGATTGATGGTGAAACTCTAACCAGATATTTTAACAATGGACAATCACGTGATAAATGCTATCAACTCAAAATCGATTACTGCTCCGAGTGGTCAGAGAAATTAGGAATTTCTTTTTGATGATCAAAAAATAAAAATGTTATATCGATATATTTTTTTTTCTTTAAAACCATTAAGAAACGTGAAAGAAGCGTGAAATTTGAAATATCGTGTAGCCTAAATTGATTAAATACAAAAAAAAAACTTATGCACGCACGTATACAGTTAGTTCCTTAACAAGAGAGTATAAGAATATTGGGTGTCTACGCGTAACCTAGGTTGCAGAACATTTAAATGAATTTCTTGAATTTCGCTCAAATTTCAAATACTAATATTATTAAGAAAGAATCATTCGATAAACACATGTCAATGCATGCATCCTGCATCGGATAAGTTGTAAATTGTCAAAGAGCACTTATTCTGGATGGAAATGTACAATGCTAATGATATCATGCTGTGACGACCTGAAAAGCTGAAAAGCTGAAATGCTAAAGTGGTAAATAATTAACAAAGTTACATCACGTAACGTAACGTACCGTACCGTAAATACGATACACGTTATCTGTTATGCGTATGTACTGTACATATCATAACTGATAACTGGCTTAGATATTAATAATATTAATATTTGTTAATATTTGTTAATATTTGTTATTTTAGAGTATGGAAGTCAAAATGCCACACAATTCGGCTATGTAATTTGGCTATGTCAATTGTTGATCTTTCGCGACTCATAAACATAAACAATAACAAAAAATCAATTGATTATGTTAAAATTATTTATTCACGCTTACAGTATTACATTGCTTATATTATTATCTGCTATACACGTATATATTGGATGTTTTTCAAGACGATCACCTCACCTTTTTAAATTAACGTTAAGGAGTAAAGCTCATTTTTTTACGTGAACCATACATACGTGTTAGATCTATGGTCACCGGACTTTGAGAAACATTTGTACTCCACAAAACTTTTAAAAATGTGGCTTTGCTAGACAAAATTGCCTAATAAATTAAAGGGATTTTGGTTTTTTTTCCATTTTAAGTTTCTTTTTTAGTCTTATATCATTGGGAGCAATCGCTACAATAACTACCTACCGGTATAAAAAAAAAAAATCACTTTTTTTTTTCAAACAAAGATTGTAAACTCCATGTGATAATTTAAAAATCACAATCTATAAATATTTCCCATTTCATCAATTGAAACAACAGTTCGGAATGAATGGGATTGGTGCTTTTAAGTAATGATACCACAGTATCATCATCTCGCATTTTTTCCGTTTTAGTTAAGTAACAATAATGTAGGAGCATGCGTTAACGCCTGAACTCTTGAATAATATAAATTTAATTGTGAAAAAAATTATTCTGACTCTAATGCTAACGCTAAAAATCAGACTGAATTTTTTATTCTCATCCTCGTCGGGAATTTGTATCATTTCTATGTCACTAACAATATTGAAATATTAGGAAATAATTTTTCAGAAGAAACAAAGAAATTAATCCATACCATATTAAGAAATGATTTCACTAAAATCATATCGATAAAAATGGACCCTACATTTAATAGAAAGTATTGCATCATTTTTAATGATTGCTTAGGTTATCAATATGGTCCTAAATTTTTTTTTTTTAGATTTTAAAATATTATGATTCCGCTTCGAAAAAAGAATGTAATAGGAATGTATTCTCCCTTTGAATAAAAAAGAAAAGAAAAAATTGATTCCCTCGGCGTAAATTAATGTGATGACATATTAGTATTACAAGTCTTATTAGGTAATATACGGCGTTTGTGTGATTTATTTTTGTCAAAAGAATTTAACGTTAAACTCCGTGTCTCCGATAAATCGAGATTACGTTACGCAGTAGCCGTTAGATTATCACCAATAATTTCTTAAAAATTTTTTTTTTCTGTTTTTGCCTATTCAAAAAACATTTTAAATCTAATTGTAGATGATCTACAACTTTAAATTTTTTTTGGTAATTATCGTTGTTTTTCTCTTAAAGAATGACTCATTCTCTTTAAACCCTGAACTTGTTTCTTGCGTGCGAATATTTTGCCCCCCCCCCCCTTGCTTATTCCTGAAATATTTATCATAAACTGCCTACTTTATTTAATGAACTTTCCTTACCGTTACACGTACTCTACTTACTTACAGTACCTTGTACTGTTCGTTGTACGTGTTCATTTACCATTACAGATCATTCCTTATAGTTATATGTGGCACATGTATTGTACTATAAAGTATGCCAAATATTTACGTGCTTGTCGTTAATTCTTGTTAAATGTGAATATCTCCTATGTTACACCAAGGTTGATTGTTCTTTTATCAAGCAAAGATCTTGATACAACTACTGTGTTAGATAAACAACGAAAAAATACATCAATCGTTCTCTACTTTCTTTCACATGGATTTGCTTATATGTTACACTAATGCCTAATGCCTACATTAAGATAACTCATAGAAATTCGTTATTACCATACGGTAGTACTGTATGTACTGTACGTACGTACGGTATGTATGTACTGTACGTGTTTAACAGTTAACAGTTAACATTTAATTTTCCCGCGAAAAGAATATATCACATGACCTCTCGATCATTATATTTGACTAAAATTGGCATTTAACATTTGATTTTTACTTATCAAGTGTAAACTCAAACTTTAAAGAAAGAATGATTAACCGTGCCGATATCTTTATAGCATACAAGGAATTCTCTGAATAAGTAAAATTAAATCCTTTTATTAGTTTTTCATTATCATGCTTTTTTTGTGTTCCATATTCGGGTACCCGAACTGGTTCATTTTTACATAATACTATATACTGTACGTATGTGATTAGGTAATACCAGAATGCTTTATCCAATCACCGGACGTTGGATTATTAAATATCGCTGTTAATATTACGATTGGCTGATAATGTCAAATTTTGATTTTGATAAAACCTATCTACCTACGTACTGTACGTACGTACGTACTCTCTAACCTATATTTAACAAACCAATTAACATTCTAAAACTTGAATAGTTAAATAAATCTTTTATAGAAATTGTTCTTAGTGCAATGATTGAAATTTTACACGGTAGTATCATGATCGATGACATTTCAGCTGTGTACTTTTGCATGAGTACACTACGTTGGAGCGCGCAGTCAACTTTGAATTTCAATATAGTGATCGGAATATATATTATATATTATGTGTATAATATAGTATCGCAAAATATGTCAAGTATGATACATTAGTAATATATACGAAATATAAAATGTTTTCGTTATTATATAATTACTTAAATGTGTAATATATTTTAATAATAAGCTTATTGACATTTACTAATAAACTTTATGCAAATTATGTAATATATGATACGTAATCATTATTATTAGTATAATTAATATGCAACTTTCTGTTTTTATGATTATCATATAAAGTTATATAAAATTAATATGGCCTTTTTTATTAATATTAATTTTGACACTATGCCTTTATAGTAATTTTTTTTAATTTTAAACAAAGATATCTTGATATCAACAAACCAAATTTAATAAAAGTTTTTTTTTTATATTAAAATTATAAATTTATATAGTAATTTACATTAATTAGTAGATTAATTTTTATATTTCAATTTATTTAATTTGATTTTTAATCTTTAATAAAAATATTCTTATTATTTTTTTTTATAGTAAAAGTATTGCAAAATATAATAGTAGTTTTAAATATAAAAATAGAAAAAAATCTAAAAAACAAAATATTATTAGTAGTTAAATCTTTAGATAATTTTGGCAAAATTATCAAACTATAGTGCTACTTACCAGTTACACAAAATGTTTTAATAACTTTTATCTAAGAGGTTTTAAAAATCTGACTAGTAACTTTATAAAGCTATATCAGATACCAAATAACTTCTCAAAATCTTGTTACTATAAAGAATTGTTGTGGTTTGAAAATTGAAATTTTATATATAAATTTTATATATAAATTTATAAATTTATATATAAATTTTATATATAAATTTATAAATTTATATATAAAATTTCAATTTTCAAACCACATCAATTCTTTACAGTGATGAGATTTTGAAAAGATATTTGACATATATAGGAACCCCACAGTAAAAGA